CAGAAGTGTGTGTGACACTCTGAGATGATGTACACGTGTTCAGAAGTGTGTGTGACACTCTGAGATGATGTACATGTGTTCAGAAGTGTGTGTGACACTCTGAGATGATGTACATGTGTTCAGAAGTGTGTGTGACACTGAGATGATGTACATGTGTTCAGAAGTGTGTGTGACACTCTGAGATGATGTACACGTGTTCAGAAGTGTGTGTGACACTCTGAGATGATGTACACGTGTTCAGAGGTGTGTGTGACAATGAGATGATGTACATGTGTTCAGAAGTGTGTGTGACACTGAGATGATGTACATGTGTTCAGAAGTGTGTGTGACACTGAGATGATGTACATGTGTTCAGAAGTGTGTGTGTGACACTCTGAGATGATGTACACGTGTTCAGAAGTGTGTGTGTGACACTGAGATGATGTACACGTGTTCAGAAGTGTGTGTGTGACACTGAGATGATGTACATGTGTTCAGAAGTGTGTGTGTGACACTGAGATGATGTACATGTCTTCAGAAGTGTGTGTGACACACTGAGATGATGTACAAGTGTTCAGAAGTGTGTGTGACACTCTGAGATGATGTACATGTGTTCAGAAGTGTGTGTGTGACACTGAGATGATGTACATGTGTTCAGAAGTGTGTGTGTGACACTCTGAGATGATGTACACGTGTTCAGAAGTGTGTGTGACACTCTGAGATGATGTACATGTGTTCAGAAGTGTGTGTGACACTGAGATGATGTACATGTGTTCAGAAGTGTGTGTGACACTCTGAGATGATGTACATGTGTTCAGAAGTGTGTGTGACACTCTGAGATGATGTACATGTGTTCAGAAGTGTGTGTGACACTGAGATGATGTACATGTGTTCAGAAGTGTGTGTGACACTGAGATGATGTACATGTGTTCAGAAGTGTGTGTGACACTCTGAGATGATGTACATGTGTTCAGAAGTGTGTGTGACACTCTGAGATGATGTACATGTGTTCAGAAGTGTGTGTGACACTCTGAGATGATGTACATGTGTTCAGAAGTGTGTGTGACACTGAGATGATGTACATGTGTTCAGAAGTGTGTGTGTGACACTCTGAGATGATGTACATGTGTTCAGAAATGTGTGTGACACTGAGATGATGTACATGTCTTCAGAAGTGTGTGTGACACTGAGATGATGTACATGTCTTCAGAAGTGTGTGTGACACTGAGATGATGTACATGTCTCCAGAAGTGTGTGTGTGACACTCTGAGACGATGTACATGTGTTCAGAAATGTGTGTGTGACACTGAGATGATGTACATGTGTTCAGAAGTGTGTGTGTGACACTGAGATGATGTACATGTGTTCAGAAGTGTGTGTGACACTGAGATGATGTACATGTGTTCAGAAGTGTGTGTGACACTGAGATGATGTACATGTGTTCAGAAGTGTGTGTGTGACACTCTGAGATGATGTACATGTGTTCAGAAGTGTGTGTGTGACACTGAGATGATGTACATGTGTTCAGAAGTGTGTGTGTGACACTGAGATGATGTACATGTGTTCAGAAGTGTGTGTGTGACACTGAGATGATGTACATGTGTTCAGAAGTGTGTGTGTGACACTCTGAGATGATGTACATGTGTTCAGAAGTGTGTGTGACACTGAGATGATGTACATGTGTTCAGAAGTGTGTGTGTGACACTGAGATGATGTACATGTGTTCAGAAGTGTGTGTGACACTGAGATGATGTACAAGTGTTCAGAAGTGTGTGTGACACTCTGAGATGATGTACATGTGTTCAGAAGTGTGTGTGACACTGAGATGATGTACATGTGTTCAGAAGTGTGTGTGTGACACTGAGATGATGTACATGTGTTCAGAAGTGTGTGTGTGACACTCTGAGATGATGTACATGTGTTCAGAAGTGTGTGTGACACTGAGATGATGTACATGTGTTCAGAAGTGTGTGTGTGACACTCTGAGATGATGTACATGTGTTCAGAAGTGTGTGTGTGACACTGAGATGATGTACATGTGTTCAGAAGTGTGTGTAACACTCTGAGATGATGTACATGTGTTCAGAAGTGTGTGTGTGACACTGAGATGATGTACAAGTGTTCAGAAGTGTGTGTGACACTCTGAGATGATGTACATGTGTTCAGAAGTGTGTGTGTGACACTGAGATGATGTACATGTGTTCAGAAGTGTGTGTGTGACACTCTGAGATGATGTACACGTGTTCAGAAGTGTGTGTGACACTCTGAGATGATGTACATGTGTTCAGAAGTGTGTGTGACACTGAGATGATGTACATGTGTTCAGAAGTGTGTGTGACACTCTGAGATGATGTACATGTGTTCAGAAGTGTGTGTGACACTCTGAGATGATGTACATGTGTTCAGAAGTGTGTGTGACACTCTGAGATGATGTACATGTGTTCAGAAGTGTGTGTGACACTGAGATGATGTACATGTGTTCAGAAGTGTGTGTGTGACACTGAGATGATGTACATGTGTTCAGAAGTGTGTGTGACACTCTGAGATGATGTACACGTGTTCAGAAGTGTGTGTGACACTCTGAGATGATGTACATGTGTTCAGAAGTGTGTGTGACACTGAGATGATGTACATGTGTTCAGAAGTGTGTGTGTGACACTGAGATGATGTACATGTGTTCAGAAGTGTGTGTGACACTCTGAGATGATGTACACGTGTTCAGAAGTGTGTGTGACACTGAGATGATGTACATGTGTTCAGAAGTGTGTGTGTGACACTGAGATGATGTACATGTGTTCAGAAGTGTGTGTGACACTGAGATGATGTACATGTATTCAGAAGTGTGTGTGACACTGAGATGATGTACATGTGTTCAGAAGTGTGTGTGTGACACTCTGAGATGATGTACACGTGTTCAGAAGTGTGTGTGTGACACTGAGATGATGTACACGTGTTCAGAAGTGTGTGTGTGACACTGAGATGATGTACATGTGTTCAGAAGTGTGTGTAACACTCTGAGATGATGTACATGTGTTCAGAAGTGTGTGTGTGACACTGAGATGATGTACAAGTGTTCAGAAGTGTGTGTGACACTCTGAGATGATGTACATGTGTTCAGAAGTGTGTGTGTGACACTGAGATGATGTACATGTGTTCAGAAGTGTGTGTGTGACACTCTGAGATGATGTACACGTGTTCAGAAGTGTGTGTGACACTCTGAGATGATGTACATGTGTTCAGAAGTGTGTGTGACACTGAGATGATGTACATGTGTTCAGAAGTGTGTGTGACACTCTGAGATGATGTACATGTGTTCAGAAGTGTGTGTGACACTCTGAGATGATGTACATGTGTTCAGAAGTGTGTGTGACACTGAGATGATGTACATGTGTTCAGAAGTGTGTGTGACACTGAGATGATGTACATGTGTTCAGAAGTGTGTGTGACACTCTGAGATGATGTACATGTGTTCAGAAGTGTGTGTGACACTCTGAGATGATGTACATGTGTTCAGAAGTGTGTGTGACACTCTGAGATGATGTACATGTGTTCAGAAGTGTGTGTGACACTCTGAGATGATGTACACGTGTTCAGAAGTGTGTGTGACACTCTGAGATGATGTACATGTGTTCAGAAGTGTGTGTGACACTGAGATGATGTACATGTATTCAGAAGTGTGTGTGACACTGAGATGATGTACATGTGTTCAGAAGTGTGTGTGTGACACTCTGAGATGATGTACACGTGTTCAGAAGTGTGTGTGACACTGAGATGATGTACACGTGTTCAGAAGTGTGTGTGTGACACTGAGATGATGTACATGTGTTCAGAAGTGTGTGTGACACTCTGAGATGATGTACATGTGTTCAGAAGTGTGTGTGACACTCTGAGATGATGTACACGTGTTCAGAAGTGTGTGTGACACTCTGAGATGATGTACATGTGTTCAGAAGTGTGTGTGACACTCTGAGATGATGTACACGTGTTCAGAAGTGTGTGTGACACTCTGAGATGATGTACACGTGTTCAGAAGTGTGTGTGACACTCTGAGATGATGTACACGTGTTCAGAAGTGTGTGTGACACTCTGAGATGATGTACACGTGTTCAGAAGTGTGTGTGACACTCTGAGATGATGTACACGTGTTCAGAAGTGTGTGTGACACTCTGAGATGATGTACACGTGTTCAGAAGTGTGTGTGACACTCTGAGATGATGTACATGTGTTCAGAAGTGTGTGTGTGACACTCTGAGATGATGTACACGTGTTCAGAAGTGTGTGTGACACTCTGAGATGATGTACACGTGTTCAGAAGTGTGTGTGACACTCTGAGATGATGTACATGTGTTCAGAAGTGTGTGTGTGACACTGAGATGATGTACATGTGTTCAGAAGTGTGTGTGACACTGAGATGATGTACATGTGTTCAGAAGTGTGTGTGACACTGAGATGATGTACATGTGTTCAGAGGTGTGTGTGTGAAACTGAGATGATGTACATGTGTTCAGAGGTGTGTGTGTGACACTGAGATGATGTACATGTGTTCAGAAGTGTGTGTGACACTGAGATGATGTACAAGTGTTCAGAAATGTGTGTGTGACACTGAGATGATGTACATGTGTTCAGAAATGTGTGTGTGACACTGAGATGATGTACATGTGTTCAGAAATGTGTGTGTGACACTGAGATGATGTACATGTGTTCAGAAATGTGTGTGTGACACTCTGAGACGATGTACATGTGTTCAGAAGTGTGTGTGACACTAAGAAACTAAAACTGCCAGTAGGCGGCGATAAAGGTCTAAATGAGTGAGTCATTGAATCATTCGATTCGTTCAAACGGCTGAATCATTCAGGAATGAAGTAAACGGCTCTCTTTATGAACGAGTCATTGAATCATTGGTTCCCCCGATTGATTCGCTCAAAACAAGGATTCATTTAGATAAAACTGAATTGAAGACTCGTTCAGGACCCTGCAATGTAAAAGCTATAGATCTGCACATGTGTGGCCAGTGTCTTCACCTTGTGAACGTCGATGTCGTAGGTGAAGTCCATGACGGGCGAGGTGTTCTGGGAGAAGAGCTGGTTGACCATGGTCCGGTAGGCTTTCCCGCTGACGTTGGCCATGGTGTGCTGGAGCACCTCGTGCAGCTCGGACTCCTCCATCTGAGGCGGCGGGAGGAGGTCGCTCTTCAGGAGCTCCAGCGCCGTCGGCCGCAGCGCCGGGTCGTGGACCAGCAGCCAGACGATCACCCTGGTGCACTGGGTCACATGAGCAGATTCGGGATGGTTACGAACTCGCTACTTTTAATCGTACCGACCGAATTATGTCGGTACTACGAGCACCGGGTCATATTTAATCAATCGGTGGCAAATTACGGTACCGGAGAATGAGAACGCATCTGGGCGTTAGAGTAAGAGAGTATGAGAGTAAGAGAGTAAGAGTATTTAAATACGAATCATGCATGTTCTGCGTGTCTCTGTGTGAATGAGTGGCGCAGACGCAAGGTTTTATTTATTTAACACACACACACACACACACGATGCTCACCTCTGCCGGCTATATCGGTTTGATTTTTCGCGGTTTCCTTGCACACTGAGTCCGAAATTTTCGCATGTGTTTTATTCGTATTCGTGATTCGGTGGCTCTGAATGGTCAAAACACCTCTCGAACTCCTCGCTACGGATGCGGAAAACGCAGAAAATTGAACCCAATCCGAATTTTTTTATGACGGACGTTAAAAAATCAATACGAGCGCATTTTATGTCAATCACGCTAACACACCGCCTCCGAAACTGTGTCCGTCATAAAAAATTCGGATCAGCTTCGTTTTTCTGCGTTTTTCGCAGTTTGAACACACACACACACACACTCTCTCTCTCTCTCTCACACACACACACCTGTCTCTCTCTCACACACACACACACTCTCTCCCTCACACACACACACACACACACACACCTGTCTCTCTCTCACTCTCACACACACACACACACACACCTCTGTCTCTCTCTCTCTCTCTCACAATCACACACACAAACACAGATCCACACTCTTTCTCTTTCACACACACACCTGTCTCTCTCTCTCTCTCTCACACACGCACATACACACACACATCTGTCTCTCTCTCACACACACATATACACACTCTTTCTCTTTCACACACACACCTGTCTCTCTCTCTCACACACGCACATACACACACACATCTGTCTCTCTCTCTCTCACACACACATACTCACACATATACCCACTCTTTCTCTTTCACACACACACCTGTCTCTCTCTCACACACACACATACACACACACTCTCTCTCTCTCTCTCCCACACACACACAGACACACACTCTCTCTCTCTCTCACACACACACACATCTGTCTCTCTCTCTCTCTCTCTCTCTCTCTCTCTCTCTCTCTCATACACACACACATCTGTCTCTCTCTCTCACACACACACACTCACACATATACACACTCTTTCTCTTTCACACACACACCTGTCTCTCTCTCACACACACACATCTGTCTCTCTCTCTCTCTCTCTCACATGCGCACACACACACACTCTCTCTCTCTCTCTCTCTCTCTCTCTCACACACACACACAGAGACACTCTCTCACACACACACACACACACGCGAGCGATGCTCGCCTCTGCCGGCTATATGAGGACATGAATGCATGACGTTCATCTCCAGAGCCGCTGTGAGAGTCACTTCACGAGCATTTTACAGTTTCATTTGAGAAAAACTATCGTCATATTCATAAACACACAGAAACACAAAGGTCTTCACAGCAACCCGTTCGGCTGTAATAAAAGTTCGCTTTAACTTGACAAGTATATTACAGTTCTACACAATTTAAATTTGTCTTAATGTAATAATAATACTAACAATAATAATATTAAATTACTGTAAAAAAAAATGTCTTCCATGTTTTAATTTTAACAGTATAAAGCTCAGTTGTGCAGCATGTTGTTTGACATAAAAAGTTTGTTTAATTTCATACAATAAAAAGATAAATTGAATTAATGTTTTAGGTCTTAAACACAGAGTTTGTGGAAAACAAAATATATTAAAATGGTTGTTTTTATGAATTCAATTAATTAAGTAGCTAGTAGCCTATAAATACTTTATACTGTAAATATTACAGTATTCAAGCATCACACATGGCAGACAGCGCCCAATGCAGCTCTGGCATAATGTCAATAACACTTCTATAAATGAGTTACAGTTTCTTTACAGTTATTGAGGCAAACGTGCCTAAAGTACCGGAGAAAGGAACCGGCACTGGAACTGGTACCGGTTACAATGTGAACGCAACCCTAGGAGTGATGTGGAGACGAGCACAAATGAGGATATGTATGATGATGATGCGCACCTGCTTCCCACTCTCATACTCGGAAAAGTCCTCAGGGAAACTAATCGACTCCTGCAGGACAAACGGGAAAGAGCGAGTGATTATGAGACATATGAAGCAATTCTACGGGAAATTACAGTGTCATTACATGGCAAATGTGTACAAAAGTCGTTTATTTGATCAAAAAACAGTAAAATAGTGAAATATTACTCCAGTGTAAATCATCTGTTTTCTACGTGAATATACAGTAAAGTGTAATTTATTCCTGTGATCAAAGCTGAATTTATCATCATTACTCCAGTCTTCAGTGTCACATGATCCTTCAGAAATCACTCTAATATGATGATCTGATGCTCGAGACACATTTATGATTATTATCAGTGTTGAAAACAGTTCATATTTTTGTGGAAACTGATACATTTTAATCTTCAGGATTGATGAATATTTGATGAATATAAAGTTAAAAAGAACAGCATTTATTTGAAATAGAATCTTTTGTAACATCATAAATGTCTTTACTGTCACTTTTGATACATGGATAAATATAAAAATACTACTTTATTTTATTTTTTTAATCTTTCCACAAAAATATGAAGCAGCACAACTGTTTTCAACAATAAAAATAATCAGGATCATGTGACACTGAAGACTGGAGTAATGATGCTGAAAATTCAGCTTTGATCACAGGAATAAATTACACTTTACTGTATATTCACACAGAAAACAGATAATTTACATTAGAATAATATTTCATAACTTTTACTGTATTTTTGATCAAATAAATGCAGCCTTGATGAGCAGAAGAGACTTCTTTTAAAAACATTTAACATTTCTACAGCGTCATTAAAGAATAAAACTCAAAAAATGTTCAATAAAAAGTCACTGAAAAAAATGAAACCTATATCTATATCTCACAAACTAAAACACTGAGATCAGAGTCTGAGAGTTTGCCGAGACTCACTTTCCTGAGTTGGCTGAGCACAAATATGCGTTCTGACGCGGTGGTCATGGGTCTGTAGGACATCTCGAACAAGATGATGCCCAGGCTGAACAGATCCACTTTCTGCACACACACACACACACACACTGTCAGCAATGAAACACGTCTGAATATGAAATATTAATGGAGTAAGACATGCAGTTCTTCAATACCTGGTTGTACGTGGCTTTAGTGTTTCCCTGGACCTCCGGACCGACGTAAAGAGCCGTGCCGATCATTCCAGTCATGTTATCTGGGAAACAGCAACACTACAGTTATTAAAGAGTTAAAATTAGAGTTCAATTTAGAGCAATATTTCACCATATACACTGAATATGAATTTTTTACCAAGTCGACAAACTTGTGCTTTAAAAAACTTTACCGCTGAAAAATGTGTCAAATAATGTGTTTTTTCTTAATAAAGGGGGCACTTACAAGCTAAATTATTTAATTTATTAGAATATAAAAACTACACTTGGTTTTTTAATATTTCTGCTTTAAACTGGATGCATGTATGCATGCATATTTTTATGGACTCCTATTTTATTGTTAAATTAAATGTTAGTAATCAAAAAGCACCTCTAATAAACTGAAATCATGAAACGTTGTAACAAATTTTTTTTAAACAATTTAACAAACACATTTATTTAAAGTTTAACAAAAAACACTTTTATGGCCCTATACAATCTGTTATTATTATAATTATTTATTTTTTCAAATCATTTTTTTCCTGTTTTAATTTTTGTGGATTCCGGTTTTTTTTCTGACTTTTTTTTTACTGTTAAAATAAATGTTAGTAATAAAAAATATGTCTCATTAATTGAAATCATGAAACTCGTACAGTTATCAGCAATTTATTAAGAGCTTAAATTCCTATTTATTTTCCCCAGATTCCGTGTTTTGCAAATTAAATTTTTCTGGATTAAATTTGAATGGTTTAATTACATTTTAATAATCAATATGCATGTCTAATCAATTGAATTAACAAAATTTAACAAACTTAATTTATCAATTTGTTTTAAAATTAGGCCCTATATGTTGCCCGCGTCTCCTCTTCCTGATTTAATACAGATTTAATATAAATAAATAAATATGTATATATATATATATATATATATATATATATAAAACGCAAGAGTTTTGGCTGAATTAAACGGTAGATATAGTTTAATGTTCAACTAAAATACCAATAATAACCAAAGAATTTTTAACAAGCCTGAAATACACTGGGACTCTTATTTTGAAATGTCTATGACTTTTGCTCCTAAATACATTTGACAGTTCGTACACATCTATTACATCTATAACACTTATTATGTGTTTGATGAACAATTCCTACTTCTGTCACTAAAATGATTGCATTATGTGCATTTTGGAGAAGGCATGGTAACACTTTACTTGAAGGGGTGTGCATAAGACTGACATGACACCTTCATAATCATGACATGACACATGTGAAGGAGGGTTATGCATGTGTATGACAACTGTCATTAAGTGTCATTCGCTCAATTATGACATTTTTAATGCAAATATGACATTGTTTGAGATGTCTTTGTCATGACACCTTGACATTACTAAGACAACACAACCTGTCATAAACATGACATAGCAGATTAATTATCAAACTTAAGAAAGCACTTAGCATTATGGGTTAACATTACATTAAACTGTCATGTGGCTGGTTTTGACATTGGCTGTCATAAGGCCATTATAACTGTCATGAATTTTTTTTCTTGACCTCAACTACAGTGGTACACATTGAATTTGTCTTTAAAATGTTATAGCGGCCTTATGACAGCCAATGTCAAAACCAACCACCTGACAGTTTAATGTAATGTTAACCCATAAAGCTTAGTGGTTTCTTAAGTTTGATAATTAATCTGCTATGTCATGTTTATGACAGGTTGTGTTGTCTTAGTAATGTCAAGTTGTCATGACAAAGACACTGACAGGTTATGATGTATTGGTTTATGTCAAGGTGTCATAACAAAGACATCTTAAACAATGTCATATTTGCATTAAAAATGTCATAATTGAGCGAATGACACTTAATGACAGTTGTCATAAACATGCATAACCCTCCTTCACATTCACGTGGAGAACACATGATCCAGTGGTCCAGTATGTGATGAGGTGTTTTACCTGTTGGATCTTGTTTGGGGACAAACCCTGAGCTGTGTTCCTCCGCCTCCAGTTTACCTGCAGCCTGAAGCACATGACGCACGTCACACCGGACTCAACTCACGTTTGCCAATCAGAAAACATGCAGACTCATGAATAATGCATGATAATATTGAAGATGGACAGTAAGGCATGCATGCATTTGGATCGGAAATGCACTGAACGCCGCAGGAAGCGCATGCAATACCACATTAGCAGGGTGATCCGTGGCCAGGCCGAAGTCTCCGATCTTCACGTGATCCTGAGAGTCCAGGAAGATGTTGACGGGCTTCAGGTCTCGGTGGATCATCCCCTGTGGAGCACACAGCCGCGCAATCACACAATCCAGACAGGAAAAGGGCATTTACTGTATAAACGCAAAGGAATTTGGCCAGTTTTGTATTAATAAATCAAAAGTAGGGCTGTACACTTAATGAAATCACACGATATGAATATAAACTGTACAAAAGACTTTTGTTTACATCTTTAAAAGATTCAATAAATTGTTAATGTTTTATGCCTTCATTTGATTACCACTGTTTTAGATTTTTTAAAAATCTGGATTAAATCATAAAGAAAGAAAAATGAAAAAATAACACAGAATTTCTGAAAGAGGAAAAAAAATTCAAAGGGCCCTATTATTGTAAAAAAAAAAAAAAAAAAAAAAAAATATATATATATATATATATATATATATATATATATATATATAATTTTATTTGTTTTACTTTAAAAATATATATATATATTTATTTTATTTATTTTAATTTTTGTTAACTTTAAGTTGTTAAAGTTTTATGAATTCAATTCAAACTTTTTTCGAGCCCTATGAAATCTATTTTATTTTGTTTTCCGAATTCTTCTAAATTCCTCTTTTTTTTTACATTTACATTTTTTTGGACTCTGATTTAATGGTTACATTAATTGTTAGTAATAAAAAAACTTCTTATTTATTGAAATCAGTAAACTTATACAATTGAACAATTTATAAAAAAAATATATAAATATATTTGTTTATTAAATTTAATTTCACCTTTAAAATAGAAACCAGAAAAAATAAAAAGGAAAAAAATAAAACAAATTTGGGAAAAATAAAAATAAACTTGAGAAAAAATAAAGCGCAATTTCATAGGGCCTTAAAAAAATGTATTCAACTTTAAGAAATTGTTCAATTGTATAAGTTTAATGGTTTCAATTAATTAGACTTTTTTTATTACTAACAATTAATGTAACCATTAAATCAGAGTCCAAAAAAATTTAAATGTAAGAAAAAAGAGGAATTTAGAAGAATTCGGAAAACAAAATAAAATAGATTTCATAGGGCTCGAAAAAAAATTTTGAGTCCCAAAAAAAAAAAAAATGGAAGGGACAAAAACAGAATCCAGAAAAATTACAAATTAAAAACGGAATTTGGAGGGGAAAAAATAGGGCTTGAAAAAATGTTTTTTTTTAAAATAATATTATTTGTAATATTAAAAAAAAATTGTTAATTTGCAACAATAAAAATTCTATGACAAAAATTGTTAGAATCGTATACATTTCAGGATTTCAATTAATTAGAAGTCCTTTTCATTACTAACAGAAAAATGCAAAAAATGCAAAAATAAATAAAAGCTGTTGATGATGTTGACCTGCTCATGGATGTAAGAGAGGCCGTCCAGGATCTCCCTGAAGAGCCTCCAGAGGCGACTGATGTCCTGATACAAGCCCTGATCGATCGTGTCTCGCAGCGTGCTCCTCTCACAGTACTCCATCTGAAGAGGCACAACACCACAGGTGAACACAGGGGTCAGGGGTCAGGGGGTCAGGGGTCACGGGTCACGCACCTGGATGTACAGGTAATGCGCTATCAGGAGGGGTTTCTCCGAGTCCGAGCTCTCCGACGGATCCGCTGCTTTCCGACTGCTGGGATCCTGCGGGAAAAACATGACACACACAATATAATACACTGGTCATGTGATCAACATAATGTGGAATAACTGTATACAAGCATCATGTACAGGAATCCCAATGTTTCTTCTCCGTTACTCAATGAATAAAGATGAAAGCATTACGGGATGACAGACATCTTGATGTATATGAATAAAAATGGACTTGAAAAATTATTTGAACACTTAGAATGAGTCAAAACAACCCAATAATCAAAGCAAGTGCATTTATTGTAAAGAAACACAACGTTTGATTAATTTATTGTGGTCTAAAATAAACTAGTGTTGAAAATGAAGACAGAATGCATTGTTACTTTGTGTTTGTGAAACTACAGATTAATGTTTATAGTTAACCCTTTAAAGCCTACTGTATCATATATTATTAGTAATATTTCAATCATGCTTTTCAAATATGATCATCAGGCTTTTGAGGAAGGTTTATTTTTTCATCTCTCAATCATCATTGTATTGCATTGCATTATGTTTTAAAACGTTTTAAAATGAATTTTACATTTATTGTTATGAAAAATGTGCAAAAATACTATTTTAAATTTGTATATGAAATATATATTTTCAAAAACATGTTTTACTTTAAAAGTGTGAGAAAATCAAAGTCATAAATCTAAACAAGTTGTTTTCTACGGAAGAGGATTAGGACCAAGCAATAATAAAAAAATAAAACCGAGTCATTATAATGCGAAATTAAACTCGTTAAATTTCGAGAGAAAAAAGTCGAAATACAATCTTGAGAATAAACTCATTAAATATCGAGAATAAAGTCGTTGTGTTTCGAGAAAAAACCCGAAATAATCGTGAGAATAAACTCATTCAATTTCGAGAATAAACACAACAACTTTATTCTTGAAATGTAATGAGTTAATTCTCAAGATTGTATTTCGACTTTTTTTCTCTCGAAATTTAAAGATTTTTTTCTCGAAACACAATGACTTTATTCTCGATATTTAATGAGTTTATTCTCAAGATTGTATTTCGACTTTTTTTTCTCTAAATTTAACGAGTTTTTTCTCGAAACACAACGACTTTATTCTCGATATTTAATGAGTTTATTCTCAAGATTGTATTTCGATTTTTTCTCGAAATTTAACGATTTTTTTCTCGAAACACGACTTTATTCTCAAGATTGTATTTCGATTTTTTCTCTCGAAATTTAACGAGTTTTTTTCTCTAAACACAACGACTTTATTCTCGAAATTTAATGAGTTTATTCTCAAGATTGTATTTCGACTTTTTTCTCTCGAAATTTAACGAGTTTTTTTCGAAATACAACGACTTTATTCTCGATATTTAATGAATTTATTCTCAAGATTGTATTTCGACTTTTTTCTCTCGAAATTTAACGAGTTTTTTTTCGAAATACAACGACTTTATTCTCGATATTCAATGAATTTATTCTCAAGATTGTATTTCGACTTTTTTTTCGCGAAATTTAACTAATTTAATTTCGCATTATAATGACGAGATGGTTTTATTTTTTTTATTATTGCTTGGCCCTAATCCTCTTCCGTAGTTTTCAAAATGTGAGCCTGATATTTAAAAAAATGAGCGTTCAGTGAGTGTGTTCGGCTGCAGTACCGAACGCTTCCACTAGAGGAAACTCTCCATTCATTTCCAATGCGTCATTTCTGACCGCGAGGAGCACAAGTGGGACTATTCTTACACGACCATTTAACTTGTTCAAATCATGTCCATGATTATTTTTTTGTGTGTTCACACAGCAAGTGCCAAAACCTTCACCAAGTTTCGTGACATTACAATGAAGTAAACATTTTCTTTTAAAAATCAGTCAAAAAACCTCATTAGCATTGTCAAAGATGGATTTTTGCTCAGTTTTTTCCTCCATATTCTCACTATATCAGACTATATGAGCCATAAAAGTCTGATGTATCAAACATTTCTGACTATTAGTTCATATGTCAGGCGTTACAGGGTTAAAGGATTAGTTCACTTTAAAAAAAAACTTTTGCTGATAATTTACTCACCCCCATGTCAACCAAGATGTCCATGTCTTTCTTTCTTCAGTCGAAAAGAAATTAAGGTTTTTGATGAAAACATTCCAGGATTTTTCTCCATATAATGCACTTTGCTGGGCACCAAACGGTTCAAGGTCCAAAAGACAGTTTCAGTGCAAACTGTTCAAAGGGCTTTAAACGACACCAGATGATGAATAAGGGTCTTATCAAGCGAAACGATCGCTCATTTAAAAAATAAATAACAAACTTTAAGTTTTATAAGCTCAAATGCTCGCCTTGCTCTGTTCTGTGTGACTCTCCTGTTCGAACTCGTTCATCAAAATGAACTAATCTTTTTCCGAGTCAATTCGTTCATTTCGTTCGTTAAATGAACCAAATGACTCGAAAAAAAGATTTGTTCATTTTGATGAACGAGTTCGAACAGGAGAGTCACAAACGTGCATCACAGAACAGAGCAAGGCGAGCATTTGACATTATTAAACTTAAACTTTGTTATTTATTTTTTAAATGAGCGATCGTTTCGCTTGATAAGACCCTTATTCATCATCTGGTGTCGTTTAAAGCCCTTTGAACAGTTTGCACTGAAACTGTCTTTTGGACCTTGAACCGTTTGGTGCCCAGCAAAGTGCATTATATGGAGAAAAATCCTGAAATGTTTTCATCAAAAACCTTAATTTCTTTTCGACTGAAGAAAGAAAGACATGGACATCTTGGATGACATGGGGGTAAGTAAATTATCAGCAAAAGTTTTTTTAAAAGTGAACTAATCCTTTAAGGATCCACAACAGAACCGGAAGACAATACAATACAATGCTGAATAAAGTCCTAGTGTTTGTTATTTTTGGACCAAAATGTATTTTCGATGCTTCAACACACTCTAACTAACCCACTGATGTCACATGGACTACTTTGATGATGTCTTTATCTCCTTTCTGGACAAGGACAGTATACCGTACACACATTTACAATGGAGGGACAGAAAGCTCTCGGACTAAATCTAAAATATCTTAAACTGTGTCCTGAAGATGAATGGAGGTCTGACGGGCTTGGAACGACATGAGGGATTAATGACATCATTTTCATTTTTGGGTGAACTAACCCTTTAATGTGTCGAACTGCATTACTCAGGGAGATTGATGACTGACCTGTAGGAAACTGTCTCTGCTGACGTCAGCGTTGTCAAAGATGACGTCGCTCTCAGAGTCGCTGTCGGGAGGGCTGTGTGTCGAGACAGAGCCGGGTCAGAAACACACACACTCACTGTTAGCAGAGGTGTGACGAGACGCGATTATTGCACAATATTTTATAGAAATCCTCCATGACAAAATTCATGACTGGAAAAATAGTCTGCAGGTGCATTGTGAAATTTTTTAACTAATAATCTTGTCATTTAGTAAAAAATAGTTCTACTTTATGAGTACGAATTATCAAAAATACAACAATATACAAGCACTGTAAAAGGTTTCGCCACAAACTCAACTGACAACATGAATTATGAGCGTCCAGAACTTCTGATTGTGACCTCCTTTACACAAATTGTACATAGAAATAAAATCTTTAAAAAATTATAAAAAATAATAAGAAACGTTTTTTTTAGTCTCATTAAAGTAAGATTTTTGTAATAAAATATCCAAAACCACTTGCACAGAGTGATATATTTCCTGCAGCTGTGTACTTACAATATCCCAAATGTTCCCAAAGATTTTTAATTTCAGAGAAATTCCCATTTTAAATAATGACCCGTCCATGTTCACGCGTCGCCTGTCACTGACGTGATATCCGCGTTTCCCTGGGGCCGGTTTCACAGAGCTATTTTAGATCGCTCTATAGTGTTAGACAAGTCTCAATTTTGCTCATAGACTAGTCTAATGCAAGTTAGACTGTTTCACAAAAATAAAGACTGACTTAATTTAGACCAAAAAAATTAGACGCCTAATGCCGAGTTCAGACTGCACGATTTTCAAAATAATCGGGTCACTGTTGTTTTCACACTGCATGACTATCTGGGGTAACGTTCAGTTGCTGCTGTGTTCACACTGCACGATGGATCGGCGACAGGAGGTTTCACACTGCATGACTTTACAAAAGAAAGAATCGCTGACAACTTCTGCCTGGTCCGCAAACTACGTTTCACAACCAAACAAACGCGAGAAGTGATACGGAAATAACGGAAGATCACGCGTGCGACACTGAATTTGTTATTAAAAATGATAACCTACAAAAAGATTTGGCATCTTGTACCATGTTTTTGTATCTTTTCTGTACGTCTTTAACGCTCCGCTCAACGGTCGGATTAACTGTCGTCGCAATCTTTGTCCAAATTAAACATTTCTTCTTGTTACTAGCCTGGGAAAACCCAGACAACTTCCGGCAAATTTAGATTTGCTCTGAAAGTTAGTCTGGCAAAGAGCTCATTCAAGCCCATTTCCAATCCGTCGAAATCGAGGCACCAATCAGAAGCGTTGGGGCGGGTTTACACAATGACGACAGCGCTGGGATTTTGAAGCAGATTTTGTAGCCTACATTACAAAGATGGATGCCGCCGTCGAACATCACTCGTTCCAATCAGCTATCGCGTCTGTTTTAAGCCATTTGAACGTTTCCTTTTAGTTAAAAACCGAGCAAAGAACAACACTCGGAGATGTGTCTCCGCCGCTCCGCATACGTCATCTCCTTCATCGCTCTGATTGGTTTAGGTCTATCCGCGACGTCCGTTGGTGACGCCCCTCTGGAAATGATTTGTCTATGACGCTTTGCCAGACCATAACTCAGTTACAACTGAGAATCTTGTTACTACATTCTCTGCTAAATTTCCCCAGTAAAATGTCTGCATACTCCTCCAACACACCGAATATATCTCCCGCTGGGGTAAACTGCACTGAGCGGTTGAATGCGCTTACTCGATCCGCCATGTCTTTTGTTTTAAAAAGTGTCTTATTTTACCCAGAATGCATTGCAGTGTAGTCCTACTTAAGATAGTCAGAGTCTTCAGTGCTTTGTGCAACGGCCTGATTTAGATGTCTATCTGAAGTCTGACTATCTACTCTATCTAAGCCGTAGTCAAAGTCTATCTTTGTGAAACCGGCCCCAGGTGTCCGCACTCGAAATCTAGAAATCTCGTCACACCCCTGACTATGAGTGCACAACACATGATGATTGGACAGCAGGAATCTCACAGGAATGAGAGGCAGAACACGTCCTCTTCTTCATCGTCGTCGTCGTCATCATCGTCGTCTTCCTCGCCGTCGGCCGCGCTGCACTTAGTGCTGGTCGATCTCTCTAGCGACGTGCTCCACTCCACAGAGCTCGCGAGAGCCGGCGGCGGCGCCTCGTCCTCGATGTTGTCCGTCAGCCCCAGCTCGTTGCGGCGGGATCGGGCCGCGGGCGGAGAGCGTCTCTCCGGGCTGGTGATCGCCTCGGAGTCGTCGCTGCTCAGCGCTCCGGTCCACGCCGTCTCGTGCCGCTCGATCCACGCGTTATAGTAGCGCACGATGTTCTCGTGGTTGAGCCGCGACAGCAGCGTCACCTCACCCTTGATCCGCCGGAACTGCCTGCTAGCCGGGTTCACCTGGATCCGCTTCACCGCGTAATAACAGCCGTCCAGCTTATTCTGGACCTGAGCGGGGGAACACGGCGAGGACAGAGAAATACCAGCATTTAGAAACAGGAACTTTAAGGTCTCACAGGTTTCCGACTAAATAAAACATTCGAAAGTAAAGAAATCGAGATATGAATATTAGCATTGCCATTTTAGTATTCAGCTGTTATAGTATTAATTCTACTTTTTTTATTGTGCTGTACTATATATATAATTTTATAGAAATAGAGATACAGGTGAAACTCGAAAAATTAGAATATCAGCCTTTTTTAGCCTTTATTTGTTATAATTGTGATGATTATGGCTTACAGATATGAACATTTTTTCACAATATTCAAATTTTTTATTTGAGGTTTTCATAGATGCAAGCCATAATCATCACAAATATAACAAATAAAGGCTTGAAATATCTCACTTTGCATGTAATGAGTCTATATAAAATATTAGTTGCACCGTTAAGTTGAATTACTGAAATAAATGAACTTTTGCAGGATATTCTAATTTTTCCAGTTTCACCTGTATTTAAAGTGATGTATATAATATATTTGTAGTAAATCTTATAGTAAAAAAAGAGAAAATTTATAAAAATTATACATGCATATACAAATATCATATATATGATATTTGTATATGCATGTATAATTTTTATAAATATTCTCTTTTTTTACTATAAGATTTTTTTACTATAATATTATTATACATTTATTTTTATACATGCATATACAAATATTATAATATATATATATATATATATATATATATATATATATATATATACACACTCACCTAAAGGATTATTAGGAACACCTGTTCAGTTTCTCATTAATGTAATTATCTAATCATCCAATCACATGGCAGTTGCTTCAATGCATTTAGGGGTGTGGTCCTGGTCAAGACAATCTCCTGAACTCCATACTGAATGTCAGAATGGGAAAGAAAGGTGATTTAAGCAATTTTGAGCGTGGCATGGTTGTTGGTGCCAGACGGGCCGGTCTGAGTATTTCACAATCTACTCAGTTACTGGGATTTTCACGCACAACCATTTCTAGGGTTTACAAAGAATGGTGTGAAAAGGGAAAAACATCCAGTATGCGGCAGTCCTGTGGGCGAAAATGCCTTGTTGATGCTAGAGGTCAGAGGAGAATGGGCCGACTGATTCAAGCTGATAGAAGAGCAACTTTGACTGAAATAACCACTCGTTACAACCGAGGTATGCAGCAAAGCATTTGTGAAGCCACAACACACACAACCTTGAGGCGGATGGGCTACAACAGCAGAAGACCCCACCGGGTACCACTCATCTCCACTACAAATAGGAAAAAGAGGCTACAATTTGCAAGAGCTCACCAAAATTGGACAGTTGAAGACTGGAGAAATGTTGCCTGGTCTGATGAGTCTCGATTTCTGTTGAGACATTCAGATGGTAGAGTCAGAATTTGGCGTAAACAGAATGAGAACATGGATCCATCATGCCTTGTTACCACTGTGCAGGCTGGTGGTGGTGGTGTAATGGTGTGGGGGATGTTTTCTTGGCACACTTTAGGCCCCTTAGTGCCAATTGGGCATCGTTTAAATGCTACGGCCAACCTGAGCATTGTTTCTGACCATGTCCATCCCTTTATGGCCTCCATGTACCCATCCTCTGATGGCTTCTTCCAGCAGGATAATGCACCATGTCACAAAGCTCGAATCATTTCAAATTGGTTTCTTGAACATGACAATGAGTTCACTGTACTAAAATGGCCCCCACAGTCACCAGATCTCAACCCAATAGAGCATCTTTGGGATGTGGTGGAACGGGAGCTTCGTGCCCTGGATGTGCATCCCACAAATCTCCATCAACTGCAAGATGCTATCCTATCAATATGGGCCAACATTTCTAAAGAATGCTTTCAGCACCTTGTTGAATCAATGCCACGTAGAATTAAGGCAGTTCTGAAGGCGAAAGGGGGTCAAACACAGTATTAGTATGGTGTTCCTAATAATCCTTTAGGTGAGTATATATGATATTTGTATCTGCATGTATAATTTTTATAAATATTTTCTTTTACTATAATATTTTTTACTATAATATTATAAAAAAAAATTTATACATGCATAAACAAATATGTATAAAAATAAAAATATATGATATTTGTATATGCATCTATAATTTTTATAAATATTCTTTTTTTTACTATAATATTTTTTTACTATAATATTATAATATATTTTATTTTTATTTTTATACATGCATATGCATGTATAAAAATAAAAAATAAAAATATTTCTTAAGTTATTATTATTATATTTTAAAGATTTATAATATCGCAATTCAAAATTATTTTTACTTTCTATGCAGACGTACACGACTAAAATAATCACGCTGATCAATCTGAAAGATTAATTCTTTCCAAACTGAGCTATTCAAATCATCATCTGGTAAAGTAAAAATGTCTGTAGTTTTTCATTTCACAATATATATATTGCAGAAAAAAATATATTACTCTATAAACACACGGCATGCCTCTCTATAAACACACGGCATGCCTGACCTTGATTACGGCCCCGAACGCTCCCTTGCCCAGCATCTGCAGCTCGGAGAACTCATTGTAGTATCTGGAGAACTGCTTCTGCTCCTCCGTACTGAAGGGGGCGCTGAGGAGGAGACTGCGCGGGACCACCGTGGACGCGAAGTCAACGCCTGTGTCTGAGGGACCAACACACGGACATTACAGACACGTGTTGAGGAGAGAAAACTTTTTTTTTTCTTTTTTTTTGGTCCAGAAAGCTTATTTTATTTCATTTTGATAATATTTTTAATGCAAATTTTTTGGGGGGAGATTTTTATTTTTTATTTTATTTACCTTTAAATGACTAGATTTGATCAATAAATAATAAATAAATAGTCATTTAAGCACATTCCTCACATTCTTTCAACTTAAATTCAAAATAATTTCATGCATAACTCTTTTAATTCAGCTCTAAATATCTTACATTGGGAGTCTTTGCCGACCTCTTGTGGAATATAATAATAACACATGATGATATTTCCTGACTCTAGATGGGCTTATAGCTCTATATGGAGCAGAAGAGCTGTTCCGCTGGGTCCTAAAGCCAGTTTATCTTCAGTGTGCATTCACATACACATGTAGACATTATAAAATAATTTTTTGGTAAAGTTTTAGCATTTTTAGTTTGAATTTTGAGCATTTTTATGTTTTTCTATGTGAACTGAAGCATTCCTCGCATTCCATTCATTCCTAAAGGGGTCAAATTGAGGGAAGAATTTGTTACTTTTTAAAATTTCAAACACAAAACTCCTCGAATCCATTATGTGTGTGTGTGTGTGTGTGTGTGTGTGTGTGTGTGTGTGTGTGTGTGTGTGTGTGTGTGTGTGTGTGTGTGTGTGTGTGTGTGTGTCTTGTGGTTCAAATGCGACAAAAGTCCTAAGGTCTTGGACCCCTCTGATGAACACTCAATTAGTCTTTTTTAAAGGAGTTTGGAGTTTAACAAAAGGATTGAGTTAAAGGTGTAAAATGTGTGTGTGTGTGTGTGTGTGTGCGCTTCACCCTCTGGACTGGACTCGTGACACGGCAACACACTCCTGGGTGACGGAGGTCTCAGGAACGGATGATCCAGAAGCTGGTGAGCGTGCCAGCGATCAGCGTCATTAAGACACACACACCTACAAATATACATAAATATGTAAGCAAACGAATTATCTATAAGGTTTTACTGCACAAACATATTCATAAAGCAGTCTAGAGCGTGGGGATATGGCCGCATTCATTTACACGCATGATCCGCCTGTGTGTTCAGCGGCTCAGTTCACTGTAACGTCTTTATTTAACGTTATTAATATCATTATTATTATTATATAGCCAGCCATATTGATAAACAGTATATAATCACACATTTCTGACCCTACAAACAAGCACAGCAAACCTGGATATTTCTTTTTAAATCGTGCAGCTCTACTAAATGTCAAAAAAAATCTGAAAAATGTAAAATTAAAATTTTAAAACAATTTAAAAACAAAAATTTTAAAAACTTACAAAAAAATGTATACTAGTATTAAAAAAAACTCTGAAAACCGTGAAAATGCAAACATGTTAAATTATTGAAATATTAACTTCAGGAGGAGTTGTAATGTAAAACAATAATAATTACTAATATTACTATTATTATTTTATAGCTATATTGATATATAAATCACACATTTCTGGCCCTACAAACAAGCACAACAAACCTGGATATTTTTTAAATCGCAAAAATACAAAACCAAAATAACTAAATTACTTAAAATTATTTAATTATCAACTAATTTAAGTAAAATAAAAACCTGTGAATTATTGAAATATTAACTTCAGGAGGACTAGCTTAAGTGAATCTTGCTGGTCAGTCGACGCGGTCACACACACACACACACACACACACACACACACACACACCTGTTGGTCAGTCGACACCGTCACACACACACACACACCTGTTGGTCAGTCGACACCGTCACACACACACACACACACACCTGTTGGTCAGTCGGCACCGTCACACACACACACACACACACCTGTTGATCAGTCGGCACCGTCACACACACACACACACACACCTGTTGGTCAGTCGGCACCGTCACACACACACACACACACACCTGTTGGTCAGTCGGCACCGTCACACACACACACACACACACCTGTTGAGGAAGTCGTGCAGGTCCGCGGGCAGCGTCTCCGGCACCGTGACGGGATACTCCTCGACCTCGCGACCCTGCGCGAGCGCTAGCATTAGCAGCCCGAAACCCCACACGTCTCCTTTCTTCCCGGCGCGCGTGGGCACCGCCTCGTCACAGAAGCGCACGCGCCCCTGCTGGAAGACGTCGGCGTCACACACGTCGGCGAGGCGTTTGGCCAGACTGTAGTCGGCGAGCCGGACGTCCCCGTGAGCGTCCAGCAGAACACAGGACGGGTTCAGGTGCTTGTGGACCACCGAGTTGCTGTGCAGATACTCGAGCGCAGCCGCTAGCTGGAGCGCGTGCCGCCGGAGCTGATCCACCGGCACCGGAGAGCCACTCGAGAGCTTCTGGGCCAGACTCGACCCGGGAACGTGTTCGGCTAGCAGGTCCACTACCAGGCCGTCGTCGCGCTCGCTGAAGCTCAGCGCCTGATAGTGCACCAGATTCGGGTGCTTGAGCTTCAGCAGCGAGTTCAGCTCGCTCTCGGCGCCGTGGATCTGGAGCAGAAGAGAGTGTGTTTATCGTGACCTTAAAAACCTCTGATCTAAAGGCTTCTAGTTAAAGGAGTAGTTCACTTTAAAATGAAAATTAGCCCATGATTTACTCTCCCTCAAGCCATCCTAGGTGTGTATGACTTTCTACTTTCTTCTTTCAGACTAATATAATCAGAGTTATATTAATAAATGTCCTGGCTCTTCCAAGCTTTATAATGGCAGTGAATGGCTGTTTCTGTTTTGAAGCTGCACAGATGCACTTTTATCATGGATAGATGCACTTTTATCATGGATAGATGCACTTTTATGATGGATAGATGCACTTTTATGATGGATAGATGCACTTTTATGATGGACAGATGCACTTTTATCATGGATAGATGCACTTTTATGATGGATAGATGCACTTTTATGATGGACAGATGCACTTTTATGATGGACAGATGCACTTTTATGATGGACAGATGCACTTTTATGATGGACAGATGCACTTTTATGATGGATAGATGCACTTTTATCATGGATAGATGCACTTTTATGATGGACAGATGCACTTTTATGATGGATAGATGCGCTTTTATCATGGATAGATGCACTTTTATCATGGATAGATGCACTTTTATGATGGACAGATGCACTTTTACGATGGACAGATGCACTTTTATGATGGACAGATGCACTTTTATGATGGATAGATGCACTTTTATCATGGATAGATGCACTTTTATGATGGACAGATGCACTTTTATTATGGATAGATGCACTTTTATGATGGACAGATGCACTTTTATGATGGACAGATGCACTTTTATCATGGATAGATGCACTTTTATCATGGATAGATGCACTTTTATGATGGACAGATGCACTTTTATCATGGATAGATGCACTTTTATCATGGATAGATGCACTTTTATGATGGATAGATGCACTTTTATGATGGATAGATGCACTTTTATGATGGATAGATGCACTTTTATGATGGACAGATGCACTTTTATGATGGACAGATGCACTTTTATGATGGACAGATGCACTTTTATGATGGATAGATGCACTTTTATCATGGATAGATGCACTTTTATCATGGACAGATGCACTTTTATCATGGATAGATGCACTTTTATCATGGATAGATGCACTTTTATGATGGACAGATGCACTTTTATCATGGATAGATGCACTTTTATGATGGACAGATGCACTTTTATGATGGATAGATGCACTTTTATGATGGATAGATGCACTTTTATGATGGACAGATGCACTTTTATGATGGACAGATGCACTTTTATCATGGACAGATGCACTTTTATCATGGATAGATGCACTTTTATCATGGACAGATGCACTTTTATGATGGACAGATGCACTTTTATGATGGACAGATGCACTTTTATGATGGACAGATGCACTTTTATGATGGACAGATGCACTTTTATCATGGATAGATGCACTTTTATCATGGACAGATGCACTTTTATGATGGACAGATGCACTTTTATGATGGACAGATGCACTTTTATGATGGATAGATGCACTTTTATGATGGACAGATGCACTTTTATGATGGACAGATGCACTTTTATGATGGATAGATGCACTTTTACGATGGACAGATGCACTTTTATGATGGACAGATGCACTTTTATGATGGATAGATGCACTTTTATGATGGATAGATGCACTTTTACGATGGACAGATGCACTTTTATGATGGACAGATGCACTTTTATGATGGATAGATGCACTTTTATGATGGACAGATGCACTTTATGATGGATAGATGCACTTTTATGATGGATAGATGCACTTTTATGATGGATAGATGCACTTTTATGATGGATAGATGCACTTTTATGATGGACAGATGCACTTTTATGATGGATAGATGCACTTTTATGATGGACAGATGCACTTTTATGATGGATAGATGCACTTTTATCATGGATAGATGCACTTTTACGATGGATAGATGCACTTTTACGATGGACAGATGCACTTTTATGATGGACAGATGCACTTTTATGATGGATAGATGCACTTTTATGATGGACAGATGCACTTTTATGATGGATAGATGCACTTTTACGATGGATAGATGCACTTTTACGATGGACAGATGCACTTTTATGATGGACAGATGCACTTTTATGATGGATAGATGCACTTTTATGATGGATAGATGCACTTTTATGATGGATAGATGCACTTTTATGATGGATAGATGCACTTTTATCATGGATAGATGCACTTTTACGATGGACAGATGCACTTTTATGATGGACAGATGCACTTTTATGATGGATAGATGCACTTTTATGATGGACAGATGCACTTTTATGATGGATAGATGCACTTTTATGATGGATAGATGCACTTTTATGATGGATAGATGCACTTTTATGATGGATAGATGCACTTTTATGATGGACAGATGCACTTTTATGATGGATAGATGCACTTTTATGATGGATAGATGCACTTTTATGATGGATAGATGCACTTTTATGATGGATAGATGCACTTTTATGATGGACAGATGCACTTTTATGATGGATAGATGCACTTTTATGATGGATAGATGCACTTTTATGATGGATAGATGCACTTTTATGATGGACAGATGCACTTTATGATGGATAGATGAGCTTTTATCATGAATAGATGCACTTTTTTGAGCTTTAATCTGATGGTTGCAATTTACTGACACTAATTCACTAATTTTCATTTTAAAGTGAACTAAACTGCAGTGAACCAAAGACAGTCTCAAAAACACGGTTTGAAATCGCTGGTGTTTCTGACGTCACAAACGACCTTGTAACCAATCAGATCAACGTGTGATCGTCAACCAGTGGATCTCTGAGCTGAGTGAGTGAGTGGAGGCAGGGCTCATTTGCATATTCCGCACATACTAAATGAGACAAAAGTGTCGAGTTACATTTAGGATGTTTTGGGTTTTTTTTAAGAAAAAAACGTTTAAATATGTAATTTTGGTGATCAAAGATGAGTTTTAACGGATACAATTATTGACAACGGTGGGACATTAAATTTAAAAGCATGAAATTAGACAGATAACTTGTGCAAACATATGAATTTCTTTATAAAACTAAAATATTATATCAGATAGTGACTCTTGACTGGTAGTGTTCATTCGTTCATTCATTTATTCAAAATAAAAGTCCAATAGTTTAATGATTGAAAATAAGGATATTAAGGCAGTCATAAATATTATGGTAATTTTGTAAATGTAATTGTAATGTAAAATAATAATTATTTTTCTTAAATACACAATTTTTTAATTTGCCAGAAAAGTAATATTTATTATTTAGTTTTTATTTATTCACTATTATCATTATTGTATATGTGTGATATATAATCACAAATTAAAATGTAAATGCATGAGACATTAAATTGTGCCAACATACAAATTTCATTAATAAAACCAACATTTTACATCAGATAGTGACCAAATGCGAACTTTCCGTGAGATTTGTGTGTGTTTTGTACCTGTTTCTTGCACTTGTCTATCTTCTCCCGCTCCTGGCTGGTGAAGAGCTTCCCGACGGAGCTCCAGCGCAGGGTCCACTCGTACACGACGGAGAAGTCTCCAGTGCTGGAGTTAAAGGCGTAATACACACTCCGCCGCAGCCGCTCACTCTCGCCTGAGACAGAGAGAGCCGACACACACACACACACACCTCATCCCAGTCCTGAGTCGCACTCGAGATTACCATCAGCATATAATAATTGTACTTAATTCTGATTTAAATGTAATTAATAATCGGTATATTTTACATGTAATAATGTTGCATTAACAATATTTCTACTTAATAATTCTAAATAAAATGTAATTAAAAATCAATTTATTTTATATATAATAATGTTTTGTTGATAATAATTCTACTTAATAATTATAAATTAAATCCTATTAATTATTAATTTATTTTACATTTAATAATATTTTAAAAATTGGATTTAATAATTGTAAATTAAATGTATTTTAATTATCAGAATTTTACATATAATAATGTTTTATTAACACTAATTCTACTTAATTCTAAATAAAATGTAATTAATCAATTTATTTTATATAATTATGTTATATTGATAATAATTCTACTTAATAATTCTAAATTAAATCCAATTAATAATTGATTTATTTTACATATAATAATGTTTTAATAATTGGATTTAATAATTGTAAATTAAACTTATTTTAATTAATAATCAGTATATTATTTATATATATATTATTATATATAAAATAAAAATAAAATTATTAATACCATTTAATTTAGAATTAAGTAGAATTATTATCAATAAAACGTTATTATATATAAAATAAAATAAATAATTCTACTTAATAATTCTAAATTAAATGGTTTTAATAATTTTATTTTACATGTAATAATGTTTTATTAATGATAACAATTAATGTAATACTAAATTAAATGTAATTAATAATCTATATATGATTTTACTTATAATGATTTACTAGCTGTCCTTAATTCTGATTTAAGTGTAAGTGATGATTCTGATTTCCCAGCATGCTCACCGATGCACTTCCCCCGGTGAACTCTGACCTCTCCGAGGACACTGTTGCTGAAGTGGAGCACTTCCTGCTGTCGCTGGCTCTCCTCACCGCACGTGTCTCGCCTGAGGAAGAGGAGGGAGGAGGAGGAGGAAGAGGAGGAGGAGGAGGAGGAAGAGGAGGAGGAGGAAGAGGAGGAGGAAGAGGAGGAGGAGGAAGAAGAGGAGGAAGAGGAGGAAGAAGAGGAGGAGGAAGAGGAGGAGGAGGAGGAGGAAGAGGAGGAGGAGGAAGAGGAGGAGGAAGAGGAGGAGGAGGAGGAAGAGGAGGAGGAGGAAGAAGAGGAGGAAGAGGAGGAGGAGGAAGAAGAGGAGGAGGAGGAAGAGGAGGAGGAAGAGGAGGAGGAGGAAGAGGAGGAGGAGGATATATCCCGCCCCCCAGTAATTCAATTCACATTTATTTGTATAGCATTTTTCACAATACATATCATTTCAAAGCAGCTTTACAGAAAATGTGTGTCTAAATGACAGTTTAGAGTGATGTCTGTTATCAGAGGAGGCTGTGTCTGTGTGTAATGCATTTCTATTAGTTCTCATGCATTATGTTAAGGCAGAAACAGTGAGCTCATTGAAGTAAAGAATATACTAACATGTTGTTAAATGATTAAGAAACAGAAAACTTTATCATTGGTGCTTGTTTACAGACTCAAAATATGAGTGTAAAAAAGTTAACAAACTGAAAAAAAAAAAAAAATTTAGATTGTGTAATATTGTGTAATAAAATTGGTATCGAAAAAAGTATCATTCAGGAACCGGTATCGAAGTCAAGGTATCGGTACCGAAAATTGTGTTACGATACCCAGCCCTATTGATATGACATGTGACCCTGGACCACAGAACCAGTCTCGAGTCGCACGGGTGTTTCTGCCTACTATACACTGTATGGGGCAAAATTATAGATTTTTATTTTATGCCAAAAATCATTAGGATATTAAGTAAAGATCATGCTCCGTGAAGATATTTTGTACATTTCCTACCGTAAATATATATAAATATAGTGGATGCAGAACAATCGTGAACATAAATGCACAACTTTAAAGGCGATTTTCTCAATGTTTTGATTTTTTTGCACCCTCAGATTCCAGATGTTCAATAGTTGTGTCTCGGCCAAATATTGTCCTATCCTAACAAACCATACATCCATGGAAAGCTTATTTATTCAGCTTTATATGATCTATACATCTCAATTTGAGAAAAAATGTAGCCTTGTGACTGGTTTTGTGGTCCAGGGTCACATATATTGTATTTAAATAAGTCAAGCACTTTAAGCACCTCATATAAGAGAAGGGGAATAATATCCGGCTAATAACTAGATGAGGACAGTTTATGAAAAACTTTGGATGTTGGGTTGACAAAGCCTTGTATAAAAGTTTATTACTACTTAAAAACACATTGTCAGCAAGAATTGGCATGTTGTTAGCATTTATATGACACTTTATTACACGGCTCTGTGGAATACTTGATTCTGATTGGTCAACAACGCCATCCAGTGGTGAGGTATTATATAACAGCCTCTGAGGACAGAAACACAGGCTCATCCGGGTGACTGAAGTGTGTGTGTGTGTGTGTGTGTGTGCTCAGACCTGTGCGTGTGTGTGTGTGTGTGCGCGTATGTGTTCAGACCTGTGTGAGTGTGAGTGTGTGTGTGAGCGTGTGAGAGTATGAGTATTAATATGAGTGCGTGTGTGTGTGTGATCAGACCTGTGTGTGTGTGTGTGTGTGTGCTCAGACCTGTGTGCGTGTGTACTCAGACCTGTGTGTGTGTGTGATCAGACCTGTGTGTGTGTGCTCAGACCTGTGTGTGTGTGTGTGCGTGTGTGTGATCAGACCTGTGTGTGTGTGTGTGTGTGCTCAGACCTGTGTGTGTGTGTGATCAGACCTGTGTGTGTGTGTGTGTGCTCAGACCTGTGTGTGTGTGTGTGCTCACTGCTCAGACCTGTGTGTGTGATCAGACCTGTGTGTGTGTGCTCAGACCTGTGTGTGTGTGTGCTCAGACCTGTGTGCGTGTGTACTCAGACCTGTGTGTGTGTGTGATCAGACCTGTGTGTGTGTGCTCAGACCTGTGTGTGTGTGTGTGTGTGCGTGTGTGTGATCAGACCTGTGTGTGTGTGTGTGTGCTCAGACCTGTGTGTGTGTGTGATCAGACCTGTGTGTGTGTGTGTGTGCTCAGACCTGTGTGTGTGTGTGTGCTCAGACCTGTGTGTGTGTGTGTGCTCAGACCTGTGTGTGTGTGTGTGTGTGCTCAGACCTGTGTGTGTGTGTGTGTGTGCTCAGACCTGTGTGTGTGTGTGTGCTCAGACCTGTGTGTGTGTGTGTGTGTGCTCAGACCTGTGTGTGTGTGTGCTCAGACCTGTGTGTGTGTGTGCTCAGACCTGTGTGTGTGTGTGTGCTCAGACCTGTGTGTGTGTGTGTGTGTGCTCAGACCTGTGTGTGTGTGTGTGTGTGTGCTCAGACCTGTGTGTGTGTGTGCTCAGACCTGTGTGTGTGTGTGTGTGTGCTCAGACCTGTGTGTGCGTGTGTGTGTGCTCAGACCTGTGTGTGTGTGTGCTCAGACCTGTGTGTGTGTGTGTGTGTGCTCAGACCTGTGTGTGTGTTTGTGCTCAGACCTGTGTGTGTGTGTGTGTGTGTGTGCTCAGACCTGTGTGTGTGTGTGTGTGTGTGTGCTCAGACCTGTGTGTGTGTGTGCTCAGACCTGTGTGTGTGTGTGCTCAGACCTGTGTGTGTGTGTGTGCTCAGACCTGTGTGTGTGTGTGCTCAGACCTGTGTGTGTGTGTGCTCAGACCTGTGTGTGTGTGTGTGCTCAGACCTGTGTGTGCGTGCTCAGACCTGTGTGTGTGTGTGTGTGTGTGCTCAGACCTGTGTGTGTGTGTGCTCAGACCTGTGTGTGTGTGTGCTCAGACCTGTGTGTGTGTGTGTGTGCTCAGACCTGTGTGTGTGTGTGTGTGTGCTCAGACCTGTGTGTGTGTGTGCTCAGACCTGTGTGTGTGTGTGTGCTCAGACCTGTGTGTGTGTGTGTGTGTGTGTGCTCAGACCTGTGTGTGTGTGTGTGTGTGTGCTCAGACCTGTGTGTGTGTGTGCTCAGACCTGTGTGTGTGTGTGCTCAGACCTGTGTGTGTGTGTGTGCTCAGACCTGTGTGTGTGTGTGCTCAGACCTGTGTGTGTGTGTGCTCAGACCTGTGTGTGTGTGTGTGCTCAGACCTGTGTGTGCGTGCTCAGACCTGTGTGTGTGTGTGTGTGTGTGCTCAGACCTGTGTGTGTGTGTGCTCAGACCTGTGTGTGTGTGTGCTCAGACCTGTGTGTGTGTGTGTGTGCTCAGACCTGTGTGTGTGTGTGTGTGCTCAGACCTGTGTGTGTGTGTGCTCAGACCTGTGTGTGCGTGCTCAGACCTGTGTGTGTGTGTGTGTGTGTGTGTGTGTGTGTGTGTGTGTGTGCTCAGACCTGTGTGTGTGTGTGCTCAGACCTGTGTGTGTGTGTGTGCTCAGACCTGTGTGTGTGTGTGTGTGCTCAGACCTGTGTGTGTGTGTGTGTGTGTGTGTGTGTGTGTGTGTGTGTGTGTGTGTGTGTGCTGTGTGTGTGTGTGTGTTTAGACCTGTGTGTGTGTGCTCAGACCTGTGTGTGTGTGTGTGTGTGTGTGTGTGTTTAGACCTGTGTGTGTGTGTGTGTGTGTGTGTGTGTGTGTGTGTGTGTGTTTAGACCTGTGTGTGTGTGTGTGTGTGTGTGTGTGCGTGCGTGCGTGCGTGTGTGTGTGTTTAGACCTGTGTGTGTGTGTGTGTGTGTGTGTGTGTGTGTGTGTGTGTGTGTGTTTAGACCTGTGTGTGTGTGTGTGTGTGTGTGTGTGTGTGTGTGTTTAGACCTGTGTCTGCTGCTTGATGTGGTTCTGCGTCGGTTTGTCAGCACTTTCTTCGCTTCGCTGGGATCCACAGGCGACCCGGATGGCGTGTGTGTCGTGTGTGTCGTGTGTGTCTCTGACGCCGGCTCCACCGCGACGACACTCTCCAAGCGCTCCTGAAACACAGCCCAGAACACACCCGTCACACACCGACGCAATCAGCTCCAGCAACCGGGTGGAATATAATCATAAAAAACATTATAAAATATGTCCATATGATTTACTTCAATGCTGTGATTAATTAATTAATTATATACTTCATTGATTATATAAAATATATCAAAATAATTCGTTACATTTATATAATGAATTATTTAACCGGAAGACAATACAATGCTGAATAAAGTCCTAGTTTTTGTTATTTTTGGAGCAAAATGTATTTTCGATGCTTCAACACACTCTAACTAACCCACTGATGTCACATGGACTACTGTGATGATGTCTTTATTTCCTTTCTGGACAAGGACAGTATACCGTACACACATTTACAATGGAGGGACAGAAAGCTCTCGGACTAAATCTAAAATATCTTAAACTGTGTCCTGAAGATGAACGGAGGTCTGACGGGCTTGGGACGACATGAGGGAGAGTCATTAATGACATAATGTTCATTTTTGGGTGAACGAACCCTTTAAACTCTTTCTTCGGCAGAAACTGAACTCGTGATCTCACCAGTTTGGCGATCTCCTTCCTCCTCTTCTCCTCCCGCCGCTCCTCCTCTCGTCGCTGGATCTCGGCCAGGATCTCGTTTTGCTGCGGACGAGGAACACAGATCAGGTTTACAGCCGATGCTCGGGCCAGAAATCAAGAGATTCAGCACTGATATCAAGAACAACACTTCAAAAACACACACTTATTTACAAAACGACAATAAAGAACAATAATAATGATGTCGTATCAATATAAGGCACTTAATATGATTTTATTGTGATATTATTGATTATCAGATGCAGAATTTGAAGCTGCTTTACAGCATATTTGATGAAGTTTGCATTATTGATCAATATTATTTTCCTGAATGAACTTTGAAACTATTGTTTTTTGTAATGAAAACTGATATCAGGGCTCGTACAGAAACTGTCAAATGAAACTCCAGGACTTTTCAAGCACTACTTTTTTGGTTTTCAAGGACAACAATCAGAGATCTCACTTATTAAACAATATCTTTATTATCTTTCAAATTATAAAAAAAGGTAAATAGATATATAAAATAAAAATAATAAAACAAAATGGTACTGATAAAGTGCAGCACACGCAATAGCTGTGGAAACTTGAACCATTGAAACGACACTATGACAAAGATATCGCTTTCCTTATTCAATCTGATTTATTCTCACATGAATATATATATATATTCAATTGAGTTCTGTATCATACACTTGAATAATTATATTAGCAATATCGCGCTCATAGCTAGGCTAAATGGCTCTATATCAATACCAGATGGGTGTGAAAAAAATTAATCATTATTTTCTAATAAAGCGTATTGTCTTCCAATAATCCAAGCACTTTTTCAGAAATATGTCTGTTTTTTTCACAAAGTCAAATTCACTTTCAGCCGCTTGTATGAACCCTGTGATGTGTAATACATTGAACATGATGTGTGGCGAGTCACGAACACAAGCGGATGCGCAGCAGAAACGCTGTGCAGTGGTTGATGTGCCACAGGAAGTGATGCCGTGTGACAGGAAGTGATGTACCGTCTGCTCTTCCTGTCTGCGGCGCTGGTCGATCTTACGCTGCTCCTCCTGAGCGAGTCGTTCCTGCAGGCGGCGCTGGTTCTTCAGCATCTCCTCGTGGAACGAGCTCGAGGGAGGAGCGTTGTGCTCCGTCAGGAAACCCTGAACCAGATCCGCCAACTCATAGATCATCACCTGGGGGGGGCGGGAGAGAGAGAGAGAGAGGGAGAGAGAGAGAGAGAGAGAGAGAGATCTTGAACAGAAAGTGCAATTTCACATCTCTCTGAGTTTTTGCTCAGCACAGCACAAAGAGACATTTTGGACAAAACTGAAACTTGAACTTTAAAGAAATATATATATATATATTTTTCCTCACAAAATCAGTGAAAGTTATATATTAATTTTATCCCTTTATATCATCACTGGGAGAAAATAAACATAAAACTGGCAGTTATTTTCAGTTGGATGTTTAACTATGGCCAGTGCATCATCCTGGCCCCGCCCCCAGAAGAGTTCTGAACACTCCAGCCACAGCACCAGGCCTAAACAACCCCCGTATGTGGAGGCCATCCCACTGCACTATCCTAAAGATGTCACAAATGAATCGGCACGGAAAGTCTACAAAAACAAAAGACTGACAGACAACCCAGAAACACTTTTTGCAGACCTACATAAAGATGGCAGCATAAGTAACCTAATATTCCATACCAACAAGCCCTATGGATGGCACAAGGCCATCATTGCACACTACCCCTCAGCTGAAAGAAAAGGCATCTGCGGGGGTTTCCAGCTAAAAATAAGAAATGAGGAAGACACAACAACCACCAACGTAAATATCTACAAAACAACGGGTTTAGTGGTGGTAAAAAGCATCAATGGGCTCTTCGAACAAGACTTGCTCTGCATCAAAGACAGAGCACAGAAAGAGACCTCTATCAGCGACCAACTTATCCCTCCTGAGGAGTCAGTCTTCCACACCTTCCACACAGACGAGGATCAGACAGAACACAGAGACCCTTCGAGCACAGAACAGACCAAAGACCCCCATCCACACTGCTATTGCACTGACATGAGGGAGAGATTCACAGAGCTAGAGGGAGAAATGGTCCAGCTCAAGGAGATGATCTTCTCCCTGCAAACAGTTCAGACAACAGACCAGACCAGCAACAGCCCCACAGCCAAGCACAGAGATAGGGACAGCTTCAGGAGAGAGCTGTGTACACTGCAGACTGAGGTGAAGGGACTCCAGCAGGAGAGAGAGGGGTTAAGGGCTCAGCTGGAGACACTGGAAACACAGTTCTTACAACAGACTGAGTTACACAAGGCACAACTAACAGCAATGAGGATGGAAATAAGTGAACTGAGGCAGGACAGAGGAGCACAGCACAGCGAGTTCAGCTCATCAGAGGAACTGGTGGAGCAGGACACTCTTCACCCTGATCACAGCTCCCAAACAACAGAGATTCAGCACAGCCAGAATCCTCCTCTCCCATCAGACCCTTCCCTCACCTCACAACCAGCCTCACACTCAGACGACCCGTCCACGCCGATAGAAGGAACAATGCGACCGGAAGTCGCTCTTTTAATTGATTCAAACGGGAAATTTATTGATGAAAAGAAGCTTTTTCCCAAACACAGAGTGGCCAAACTCTGGTGTCCGAACACTCAGAGCGCACTCAAATGGCTAAGTGTTGACAAACTGGGATCCCCAAGCCATGTAATAATCCACACCGGCACAAACGATCTGAGAGCCCAACAGGAGAGGGTGGCTATATCACTACAAACAGTGATTGAAAAGGCCTCAACCACCTTCCCAAATGCTAAAATTACCATCTCCACACTGCTGCCCAGAAAAGACTTCCACCCTGACACCATCCAGCGGGTGAATGCCCACCTCTCCCGCTCCTGTGCACTTAAACCCAATGTGCACCTGGCACACCACCCCACCCTGGACCCCTCATGCCTCTACGACCATGTCCATCTGTACAAGACAGCTGTTCCTGTCTTCGCCAGGACGCTATAAGATGTGGCCCTGAGTCGGTATCACAACAGCACCCCCAGGAGCAACAGAGTCCAACAGCATCCACCCAGACCTGTAAGAAAGCACAGTGTACCCCCAGAGAGAACACCCAGAAGACTTCCATCAAGACAACAGCACTCTCACATGCTGAGACCATCACAACCAACACTGCATCTTCTTCCAGCCCTCACACCCTCACATTCAGTGCATCAGGCCAGGCCAAAGCCCCTCCTGCGGACCCCCTGCCCTCCTCATACCCCGCAGGCCCCGGGCAGACACAGCTACGCTCAGATAGTGAGCAGAACATCCACAACAGCACCAGTGCAGGCCACATCAACAGAGCTAAGAGACATCCGTCAGATGCTCAACCTCATCTGCTCACACCTACTGTCATAGGTCAAAACTTATCACCAAAAGTATTTCCCCATGGATAACAAAGCCTTTATCATTTCATGTTGGAACATTCAAGGCCTGCGATCATCCACCTTTGGCCTCAAAAGCAGAAACCCAGATTTCAACTCAGAAATCAAAAACTCAGACATCATCATCCTGCAGGAGACATGGAGCAGAGGAGATGGACCCACCGGCTGCCCCAAAGGCTACAGAGAACTCATCATCCCATCCATTAAACTGCCTGGAGTGACACAAGGAAGAGACTCAGGAGGAATGCTTATCTGGTACAGATCAAATCTTGCCCATGCCATCAAAGTAGCTAAAACAGGACAATTCTACACATGGTTAGAAATTAATAAGACAGTCACCGCAACAGAGAAAAACATCCTGCTGTGTGCCACTTATATCCCTCCATCAGAGTCTCCATATTTTAATGAAGACAGTTTCTCCATTCTTGAAGTAGACATTAATTACTTCCAGTCACAGGGAAGTGTGCTGCTCTGTGGAGACCTAAATGCCAGAACAGGTGAAGAACTGGACACACTGAACTCTCAGGGGGACAAACACCTGCCTGGAGGAGACGTCCTCCCCACACCGATACAAGCACAGAGACACAACTATGATAAAACAACAAACAAAAGCGGAACACATCTTCTTCATCTGTGTCGCACACTAGGTCTGTTCCTAGTCAACGGCAGGCTTCGAGGAGACTCCTACGGTAGATACACCCAGGGGCGTAGAATTTAGTAGGGACGCTAGGGACGTGTCCCTACCAATATCCAGTGACACTGATATATCCCTAGCAATATTTTCGATCAAAACATTAAATATATTAAATATTGATGTCCCCGTCCCCACCAATTTCAAAATCAAACCTACGCCACTGGATACACCTACAGCTCATCTTTCGGTAGCAGTACAGTCGACTATTTTCTGACAGACCTTAACCCAAACTCCCTCAGAGCGTTCACAGTCAGCCCACTAAACCCCCTGTCAGACCACAGTAAAATAACTAGGGGTGTGCAAAAAAATCGATTCACATTTGAATCGCGATTCAATCTTTACCGATTCAGAATCGATTCATAGAATTCCAAAAATCGATTCATATTTTTTTTTTATGGCGTGCACGGGCGGAGTGGCAATCGGGTGAGTCGGGACTTTTACTGGTGGTCCGGTAGTGTTTCGAGGCTGCGAGGGCCGGTCTGATAAATAGATACATTGCAAGTTCTTGCCGCCCGCTGGTCAAACTGTGCAGCCTCTCTGCTCAACCCGTGAATAAATGCATCGATCCGCAGATTATGTTTGAGTTCTTAATGGTCTGTAGATCTTTTGCCAAGCGTGTCAGAGGTTACGGGTTCTAAACCGCACTCGTATAGTTTTTTCTCTCTCTCATCAAAACCGAATATGTTCATCACGTTTGTGTGCATTTTTATTTTTGAGATTTTACCGGAGTCTCCACAACGGCGATAGATTGAAGAGCGCGTCCGAGTGAAGACTGCGCGAGCCACAGAGAACACTGTATCCATGACACTGATAGCAGCGGACACGAGCGCTCAGCTTGATTTCAAAAACAACAGATCTCTTACTTAATAGCGAACTAAATGAATGCTCTGCTAGTTAACTGGAGATACCCGCAAATTACGCCTATGAACGACTTCACTGGATCTAAACAAATCAATCTAACCATAGATGTTACCAGTAGCGGTGGCTTTTTAAAATCTATTTAAAATTATTTCGCAAGGGTTCTATGACATTAGTATATTTTTAGGAAGTTCAATGTGCCCAGTCGAGTTCACATTTCAACAGTCAGCCTGGTAGCTGAAGTAGTCCTTAAACCACATTTAGCATATTGTTTGTTTGATCTGACTACAGCACTTTAAAGCTAAATGTAAAAGCTTTTTATTTAAGATTTATTTTAAACTTGAATTAAATGTATTTGAAAGCTGGCCAAAGCTTGGCACTTTGCACTTTTTAGTTGCAAAAGTTTTTATTTTTGTATGAAGACATAAAGTAATATCAAACTACATTTAATTTGTTGTGTTTTTTTTCTTTTAAATTGTGTCTACTGCAATCAATCACATAGGAAAAAGTAAACTTCATTTATATACTGTGAATCGTTTTTTGAATCGAAAATCGATTTTGAATCGAATCTTGAGACAAAAAATCGGCATCGAATCGAATCGTGACATTTTCTGAATCGTGCACCCCTAAAAATAACCCTCTACTTAAACAGAGCAATGCCCAACCAAGAAGCGACTAAACAAACCCAGCTCCACTCACTTAGAAACATGTATAGATGGAAACATAACAGTAAAGATACATATCTAAGTACAATTAGTCAACCGAAAATTCAAGCCCTATTAGATCAATTCCTTGCCACTCCTTTCCCGCACAATAGTGAAGGTACAAACTAGGGCTGTGCTCAGAATATCGATACAACGATATATCGTCATGAACTCCTGGCGATACGCGTATCGATACAGCAGCTGCCGTATCGATACTTTTGTGCTTTTGAATGTAGCCAATTCAGGGCTCGAATTTCGGCGCGGGATTGCGCATAATTTGAATAATTCCCGCAGCTTATAATGCGGGAAATTCCCGGAAACATTGATTCACTTTAGCATGTAGGTTGTAGTATAAGTAAATGAATCCACACAGATTATAAAACCAAATCAGTCATTTTAAAACTTTCTGTGAGACGCAATTTCACAAACAGCGTGAGTTCAATGCAGTGCTGCGTCTCTCTCTCTCTCTCGTCTCGGGCAAGCGTCCAGCGCTGCAGCCGGTGAAACTACACGCTCACGGT